TTCACGACAGGCCTGGTAATGAGGTCCAGTAAACTTCCACCTGTGGCCTTCCTCTCCCACCCCCAGTCACCTGGGGGTGGGAGTTCAGGGGCTGCAAACATCATCTGTCCCCAGCAGTGACCAGCTTGGAAGGCAGCTCTCTTTGTGTGCTGAATCACTGCTGCTTGTGTTGGGGGGAGTCCTTCCATTGGTCCACCTTTCTGGGTGAAGAGCTGCCTGATTGGCTGATTCCTGGCTGCTAGTGCGGTCATACAGCAATACCACACATCGCTCCAGAGGCTCCATGTGTGGAGCCTCTGGTGTACGGAGTCTGGGGTGGCAGCCAAGGCACAGAAGGCTCATCAAACGTCATCCATGTATCCCACGCCGTCTTCTTGCCCCTGCCACCAAAAGAGTGTCACATCCAGTAAATGCATGGAACATTGGTAAGGCTATGCATCGATCTGGACCCAGTGACCTCGCCATCTCATGAGCTGCTAAATGCCTAAAGCTCTTCCTAGCTCCAAAGGCAACCCACAGCAGTGATGTTGAGGGATTGGGCTGCTGTGAACTGTGCGTATTGACACCTTGCTATACCCTTCCTTCACAGCGTCTCCTAGGGGCAGTAGGATGCGGATATCAGCCTCCTCATGTGTGCATGGTGCAAGTACTGATTATTTGTTTGTGTTGAGGGCTGCCACACTGGCTGCCAGGAAGGAGAACAGCCTTCTTTTCTTCAATGCGCAGAAGCTCTGGCAAGTTTCCAGGAATGGCACTGGATGGCTCAACGCGTCTATGAACTCCCTTCCCTCTCTTGCTGCGTGTTTCAGCCTTCAGACTTTTGGGGAAATATTCATCCCACACGACATCGACTCTGCCGACATGCTCCAGCTCCAGCATGTCAGTATGGTGAGAACGCTTTCTGGGCATCATAAAAAAAGCTCTTAGCAGCACCAGGTCGTAGCATGTTCACACGAGCAGCCCCATCAAGGATGAGGCCTTAACTGTGGGGTGGGATGCGCTCTCTTGTAAAGAAATCAGGTCCTCCAAACAGCCCTCCACCCTGACTTGGTCCCAGTGCTCAGCTTGCCCATGTGTGCCAATGATGATGGACATGCCTGGTTTTCAAGTTTATTATATTTCGCATAATGAATCCCAGAAGACTCATCCAGACTTCCATCAGGTATCTCAGATACAATGTGCAGCCTAGAGAACAGAGAACAGCCATTCTTCAGAGATGAGAGCTGTTGTGGGACCTGGACTTCTCTCGACTGGAGGCCGCTGATAGAGGGAGGTGTTTCCTTTTGATGGGCTTTGTCTGTTTGACAAACAGGCGCTCACTGACATACAGTGGAGGAAATAAGTATTTGATCCCTTGCAGATGTTGTAAATGTACCCACTTAGAAATAAATTAACAGTCTATAATTGTAATGGTAGGTTTAATTTATCAGTGAGAGCAAGAATATCAAAAAGAAAATCCAGAAATTGACATTATATAAAAAATACAATTTGATTAAACTGTGGGAAATAAGTATTTGATCCCCTTGCAAAACATGTGTTAGTACTTGGTGGAGAAACCCTTGTTGGATGCACAGAGGTCAGACAGAGGTCACACAGAGGTCACACAGAGGTCAGACGCTTCTTGTAGTTGGTCTCCAGGTCTGTGCACATCTCAGGAAGGATCCTATCCACTCCTCTCTGAAGATCCAAACCCTGAAGGTGTTGAGGCTGATTCTTGGCATCTCGAAGCTTCAGCTCCCTCCACAGACTTTCTATGGGATTAAGGTCCGGAGACTGGCTAGGCCCCTCCCTCACCTAAATGTGCTTCTTCCTTAGCAGCTCCTGTGTTGCCTTGGCCGGATGTTCAGGGTCATTGTCCTGCTGGAAGACCCCTCCATGACCCATGTTCAGAGTCCTGTCTGAGGGAAGGAGGCCATCGGACAAGATGTTACAGTCCATGGCCCGTCCATCCTCTCCTGGATGCAGGGAAGTGGTCCTGTCCCCTTAGCAGAGAAACACCCCAAAGCAGAATGTTTCCACCTCCATGTTGGTCTCATCTGACCACATCACCTTCTCCCAAGCCTTCTCTGAATCACTCAGATGTTCAAACTTCAGACGGGCCTTTCATGTTCTTCTTGAGCATGGGGCCTTGCGGGCGCTGCAGGGTTTGATCCATTATGGTGTCGTGTGATACCAATAGTTTTCCCAGCTGCCTTGAGGTCATTAACAAGTTCCTCCGTGTAGTTCTTGGCTGATCCCTCACCTTTCTCATGATCGTCAAACCCCACGGGGCCAGATCTTGTGTGGATTCCCAGACTGAGGGCGATTGATTGTTGATTGATGTCCATTTTTTTTCCTTCCATTTCCGAATAATCGGATCAACAGTTGTCACCTTCTCCCCAAGCTGCTTGCTGATGGTTTAGTAGCCGATCCCAGCCTGGTGCAGGTCTACAGTCTCCTCCCTGAGGTACTTAGACAGCTCTTTAGTCTCGCCCATGGTGGAGAGGTTGGAATCTGATTGGTTGATTCTGTGGACAGGTGTCTTTTATACAGGTAACAAGTTGATATGAGGAGTGCTTTCCTAAAGGAGGACTTCTGTAACCGGTCTGCGGGAGCCTGAATCCTTGTTTTGTGCAAGGGGATCAAATACTTATTTCCTCCACTGTAGGTGTCATACCCGTCCTGTCCGAGTTTCTCAATCTGGTTCAGAGTGTCAACGACTGCTGCATCTGCAAGGTCTCTAGTATCCAGTACAAGAAGATCTTCACTGCTCTTTTCACAGCATGGATTGCCCATGTCTTCTAGAGCACCAGTTAGTGCTTTAACATCTCGTGCAAATGCCATGTGTGCATGTTTGGTCTGCTCATGGTGCCGGGTGTCAGCCTTCTTTCTCTTCTCAGTGGAGGCCTCAAACTCCCCAACCACACGTGCCATCTCGGGGCCAGACAGCATCCAGCGTCGCAGAGCTGCAGGGTCCTCTGTCAGGCCTACAGCACCACCATCACAGAGGCATTGTTCTGCTCGTGGGCCTGGTCAATGGCAACAGCAGAGAAGCTGCGTGTCGTCTTCTTCACAGCCTTTCCTTTCAGGTTATCTTTTAGCACAATCATGTCACGCAAGTGGACTGGTGTCCATCCGGCATAGTGGGTGTGTCCCAGAGCAAGGAACCAAGGCACACTCTTGGTCAAGGCATTTATGTAGAGTAGGAAGTCAGCCTTTCTTATTGATCGGATATAGATCATCAACTCTATTTCCAGCTGCAGGATGATGGACCAGAAGTGGAACTGGGGACATGACACTACTCTCGTCCACCCGCTACCCCTCCAGGAGGTCGCCAAGTACCTTGAGTGCTGCCATCTCAATGTGAAACCCAACACACACCACAATACAATGATCTTCACTGTGAGCTGCAGCTCCACTGGGTGTGTTCAGCCACAGCGTGTAGAGGTGGATCCAGAGTGATCTGACCAGGATTCAGAATCTCTAAAGCCTGCCTCACCGATCCAAGGAATGATGAATCGTGGCCACAGACTTGGCCTGGTCGTAGAAGAGGGGAAGTAGAGAAGTGAGTGTGACACTGCTCTCTGGTATTGTATGACCGCACTAGCAGCCAGGAGTCAGCCAATCAGGCAGCTCTTCACCCAGAAAGGTGGACCAATGGAAGGACTCCCCCCAACACAAGCAGCAGTGATTCAGCACACAAAGAGAGCTGCCTTCCAAGCTGGTCACTGCTGGGGACAGATGATGTTTGCAGCCCCTGAACGGCCACAGGTGGATGGGAAGTTTACTGGACCTCATTAGCAGGCCTGTCGTGAACTGAATATTATAGATAGAATAGAATAGGGAGAGATGAAACCCTCTGTATTGGTCACACATGCAGAGCACACAGTGAAATGTGTTCTCTGCTTTTAACCCATCCTAGTACCAGGAGCAGCTATTGCACAGCGGCTGGGGAGCAATGGGAGTGAGGGGGGAAGGGGGGTGTCCGGTGCCTTGCTCAAGGGCACCACGACAGGGCAGGAGGTGAACTGGGACCTCTCCAAGTAGCAGTCCACACTCCATATTTTAGGTCTGGTCGGGGACTTGAACCGGCGACCCTACGGCTCACAGTCCAAGCCCCTACTGACTGAGCCACTGCCGGACTAAATTAAATTACATATATATTATGTAACATGTCACCATAATAAATATGTTAATGGTATATGTGTATTTTGTTCCCTGAACACCAGATACATGGAGTTAGCTACATTCTAGCATGTTGTAAATAGTACCACTGCATTCCCCATCCTTGAACATGTAGGATTAGCCACCAGAATCTAGACCCTAGGCTACCGGTAAAATAACAACCAATGGACACATATGCGATGGCCCTATAGCCAAAAACCTTCCTCAGGGCATGCGTGTGCCAAAGTTCATGTTTTTATCATCAAAAGCACAATTCATTCAGATATTTCACATATCTGCTGGACTATAACTCTTCCTCAAGAAGTCTGGAGGCTTTTGGTTTCCAGAGGAGCAAAGAACCAACACCCCACGCTCTCTGAGACAAATCTGCACCTGCGTGTGTTAATAATTGCACGTTTTCACTGCTCATATCTGCGGGTTCGGATCGGCTTGCGGAACTAATTGGCAATATGTGCGGGTAGCGGGGCGGGTTCAGTGTTCCACGTAGCGGGGCGGGAGCGGTGTTCCACGTAGCGGGGCGGGTTCAGTGTTCCACGTAGCGGGGCGGGAGCGGTGTTCCACGTAGCGGGAGCGGTGTTCCGCGGGGCGGGAGCGGTGTTCCACGTAGCGGGGCGGGAGCGGTGTTCCACGTCGTGGGGCGGGTTCGGTGTTCCACGTAGCGGGGCGGGAGCGGTGTTCCACGTCGTGGGGTGGGTTCGGTGTTCCACGTCGCGGGGCGGGAGCGGGTCTTGAAAATCAGACCCGTGCAGGACTCTGGTTCGGGTTAGAAACGTATTTTTATTCAAACAAGAAAAAGTATTATTAGAAATGTTTGATCACAGAAAAATGACAGAACGTTTTTAATTAGCTTATTTTATTCAGCGTGTAGACGAGGTGGTTTAATCCATTTACCCACAATGCATTGTTGTATACAGTCATTCAAAAACATCAACATATAAATCTGAAGGTAAATAATCAGAAAACATTGAACATATTCTCCAGTGCCCCACGTTATGACTCACAGTGCAAACATCACTCAGACTGGAGAGGAGTTCAGACGTTTCGACCAAAAACTGAAATAAATGCAGAATTAATCACATTTTCACCAACAAACACAAGAAGTGATTTATAAAAAGAAAACATCAGATTTCTGACGTTTAAAGGAAACGACCGGCAGCTCTTCGTGGCGTCCTACTTTCAGAAAGTGCATTTTTACAGTTAACGTGTCATTTAGAAACACGTCCTACGGTTTCCTCTCTTTCTTCTGGAACATAAATACCTTTTTCCAGATTTAGCAAAATGTCATTAAGTGTTCGAGACACGTGACGTTCCTTATTTCATCTGTACTACGTTAAGTGTGTTGGCAACGCATAAATAACGTCATATACGTTTCTAATACTTGTTTGTTAGTCACATGTTTCTGATTGGTCAGGAGCACGTCAGAGTCGTCCCGTTGGCAGCGTGAACATGTTCTCATAGAAAACTCTTTCTTGGTGTGCGAGCAGCACGGACACTTCATCTGATTGTTAGGAGACTTCATCTGATTGTTAGGACACTTCATCTGATTGTTAGGACACTTCATCTGATTGTTAGGAGACTTCATCTGATTGTTAGGAGACTTCATCTGATTGTTAGAACACTTCATCTGATTGTTAGGACACTTCATCTGATTGTTAGGACACTTCATCTGATTGTTAGGAGACTTCATCTGATTGTTAGGAGACTTCATCTGATTGTTAGAACACTTCATCTGATTGTTAGGACACTTCATCTGATTGTTAGGACACTTCATCATGATTGTTAGGACACTTCATCATGATTGTTAGGACACTTCATCATGATTGTTAGGACACTTCATCATGATTGTTAGGAGACATGAAACGCATGGGATATAAATCCGTCTTTTGTAAACTTTGTCCCAAATGTAAATCACGTGTAATCATCGGTTCATTTCTCAGTCGTTGCTTTTGAGTCGAGGTTCGATGAAGATGATCCTTGTTTTACTAAAGCCTGATCCTCAGCTGGTGGAAGAACGGGTTTAATAATAAAAATAACGGTCATATTATCGTCTTGTAAACGTTCCTGTGTCAATAATCACAGTTTCAGGTTTTTTTACAGTGTTTAGACATTATTGCTTATTCTCTCATCACGCTGTGAAATATTAAATATGAAACTCCCTGATTTCTGCAGCTGTGAAACACAGACACGTTGGGAACTAAAGGAAGACATCATATATATTATAAAGATTAATAATCAGTGCTGTAGGAAAGATTGTGCTCTTCAGTGCTTTTGTCATTTAAAAAAATCTCCTTCGTACAAACGTTGACATCGTAGCTTTGAAAAAAGTCTTAAAAGCACACAATGTCTTTTTTAATTTCCTGAACCTGAATATCTGTGAGGAAGACTTTGTGTCTGAGATCACAGACGGGGAGCGCCTCATTAAACATTTAGTCAATTAAGAGAGACTCAAAGAAGGGAAATCAGGGGGGGTTAGTGCAGAGAGGAGACCCCCGGAGGACCTGAATTCTGCTCCTGAATTACAGGAAGAGGCCATCGTCCAATCAGCTGTTAGACGCAGGATTGTGAGGACACACACTCTGTACTCACTTCACGTCTTCATGTCGTCGTGGAGATATCCAAAGTCCTGTTTTTTGTAACGATCAGATGTGAAATGAAAACAGACGGTGTGATCCTGATGGCGGGGATTTGTTGTTTTCATGATGGTTTGTCTTTGCTTAACAGCCAATCAGAGAGCTTTATTTTATCGGAGGTCGGTACAACCCGTAGAAACAACATTGGCGCTTATCGGTGTCTCTCACAGCTGATCAAGGGTCTTTGAGAATGTTTGTCTATGTTGATGTTACACATGGAGCTGCTGTGATGCAAGTTACATTTCAGACTTGATCTGACCATTAAAGTATTATCGGATCGTAGCGTCAGCTTGGGGTATCGGGGGATCGGAGTATCGGGGGATCGGGGGATCGGGGGATCGGGGGATCGGAGTATCGGGGGATCGGAGTATCGGGGGATCTGGATCACAGAGGAAAACCCTGAGGAGTACAATTTAGAGTTTTTATTGAGACGCTGCTACACTGAGATCCAGAGAAGGAGTATCTGAGGTGGGGTCTCATGGTGTCTCAGACCCTTCGTCCTCGGGGGAGGTGGGTGATGCCGGCGTCTCCTCCCCTTCCTCCTTCTTCCTCTCCATCTTCTCGTAGGTTTTCCTGCGCTGGCGCCTCAGCGTCTGGTTCTGCAGCTCCTTCACCTCCTGCAGGATCTGCTGCGCCTCCTGCCACGACGACACGGCTTCCTCCAGCAGACGCTCCGCCTCGTCGCGCCTCCTCCCCACCTCCACGTCCTCCTCTGGGGGGGAGGAGGGGGAGGAGAGGAGGGGAGACTCCTCCTGGCTCCCCCGCCGAGGGGAGGTGCCCCCCTGGGGCGAATCTGACCCTTCAACCCAGGGGGAGTCGGGAGGGGAATCAGAATCAGGAGGGTCGTCCTCCTTGTTGGAGCTCGAAGACAGTTTGAGTTGTGCTGCCTCGGAGACAATGAGGCATTTCGGGGAGTCGCCGGGTTTGGGGGAGTCGCTGGGTTTGGGGGAGTCGCTGGGTTTGGGGGAGTCGCTGGGTTTGGGGGAGTCGCTGGTTTTGGGGGAGTCGCTGGATCCTCTGTAGCGAGGCGAGTCCGTCCCTTTGGATCGGTTCTTCTTGGCTTTGGACCGAGGAGACTCCCTCCCCCTCAGACGGGGAGAATCTCTCCCCCGGAGACGAGGGGAGTCGCTACTCCTGCTGCGAGGAGAACCAGACGATTTACTGAGGAGAGAAAAAGAAACGGGTTTAACGTCTACATCATAACATCAGGGAGGAGGAACCAGATCTGAGGTTAACACAAGACCTACCACATAAAGTACGTCACTAAATACCCCACTGGTGGATTTGGAAACGGAGGTTGCTCTCTCTCCACGCCTCACTGCAACAATCAACTCCTCCCTGTCTTCTTGCACCGTCCCACCATCCCTCAAATAGCTGCTATCACCACTATTCTGAAAAAACCCGGACTCAACCCTGACAACCCTAATAACTTCAGACCAATCTCGAACCTACCCTTTCTGTCCAAAGTTCTGGAACGCGCTGTAGCGTCACATCTCAAGCATCACCCTCTGCCAATAACCTCTAAGAAACGTTTCAATCCGGATCCCGCTCAAACCACAGTACTCCTCGAAATCAGCAATGACCTTCTCCTCTCCCCCGATGCCGGTAACCTCAATTCCCAGGCGGACGGCCCGGGGGAAACGAAGAGGCCTAGAAGGGGGAGAGATCGCGGCGGGAAAACTCTGGAGCAGGAGACAGGGGCGAGGGCGATGGCGGGACAGCTCCGGAGTCAGCTGGACCGTCGGAGCAGGAGCACCGGGAGGTGGCGGGACCACCAACGGAACAAGACGTTGTGTTGGCGGGACCACCAACGGAACAAGACGTGGTGTTGGCGGGACCACCAACGGAATAAGACGTGGTGTTGGCGGGACCACCAACGGAACAAGACGTGGTGTTGGCGGGACCACCAACGGAACAAGACGTTGTGTTGGCGGGACCACCAACGGAACAAGACGTTGTGTTGGCGGGACCACCAACGGAACAAGACGTGGTGTTGGCGGGGCCACCAACGGAATAAGACGTGGTGTTGGCGGGACCACCAACGGAACAAGACGTGGTGTTGGCGGGACCACCAACGGAACAAGACGTTGTGTTGGTGGGACCACCAACGGAACAAGACGTGGTGTTGGCGGGACCACCAACGGAACAAGACGTTGTGTTGGCGGGACCACCAACGGAACAAGACGTGGTGTTGGCGGGGCCACCAACGGAATAAGACGTGGTGTTGGCGGGACCACCAACGGAACAAGACGTGGTGTTGGCGGGACCACCAACGGAACAAGACGTTGTGTTGGCGGGACCACCAACGGAACAAGACGTGGTGTTGGCGGGACCACCAACGGAACAAGACGTGGTGTTGGCGGGACCACCAACGGAATAAGACGTGGTGTTGGCGGGACCACCAACGGAACAAGACGTGGTGTTGGCGGGACCACCAACGGAACAAGACGTGGTGTTGGCGGGACCACCAACGGAACAAGACGTGGTGTTGGCGGGACCACCAACGGAACAAGACGTGGTGTTGGCGGGACCACCAACGGAATAAAACGTGGAGTTGGCGGGACCACCAACGGAACAAGACGTTGTGTTGGCAGGACCACCAACGGAATAAAACGTGGAGTTGGCGGGACCACCAACGGAACAAGACGTTGTGTTGGCAGGACCACCAACGGAATAAAACGTGGAGTTGGCGCGACCACCAATGGAACAAGACGTTGTGTTGGCGGGACCACCAATGGAACAAGACGTTGTGTTGGCGGGACCACCAACGGAACAAGACATTGTGTTGGCAGGACCACCAATGGAACAAGCATGGCTGCTGGGGCTCAGGCTGGTCTTTCTTCTCTCAGGAGCCTTTTGGAGGCTCCATGGACCTCCAAAGGCCAGAAGAGTACCCAAGAAAGGTTCCTGGACAGGAGCAGGAAAGGGGGCAGAAGCAGGGGCTGACTCCAGACAGAACACACCGAGGCATATGGTGTCAGGTTGGGAACTGGGAGGCAGGGGGCTAGCATCCCTAGCACTAGCAGGCCGGGAATCATGTTTTACCTCAGTGTCATACAAAAAGTATTTTGCCCACTCAGGTGACGTGAGGTCATGTGACCGCGCTTCATTGTGCGTCTGTATATGATAAATATGATAACTCACCTGGAGTGGGGGGAGTCTGATCCTCGCAGGTGATGCAGGCGGGGGGAGTCGATGCCCTTCAGGTAGGGGGAGCTGCCCCCCCGCTCTCGCTCCGCCTTGGCTTTCTGCAGCTCCTGTCAATCACAGCATCACATGTCATTATCTCCTCTTCCTGCATCAAGGCCATAAGACTGCTAAACACCTGAGCTCTGTGAAGTGCCTCGATAAACATTCATCTGTTTGTCATCTTGCAATCTACTTATTTATATAAATACTTATCACCGCAATAAACCGTATTTAATTTTGTCTTAATGTACATTATTTAATTTCACATTCTGTTCTTACATTTCATATTCTGTTTACATGTGTATAGACTTCTTGCACTACTTTTTTAAATTTGTATTTTATTATATGTATCATTGTTGGAGGAGCTCAGGTCAGAAGAATGTCATTGCTGCTCTGTAGCTGCTGAGCATCTGACGATAAAACCTTTGAATCTTGAATTTGAATATAGAGTTACCTCCAGCCTCATCTCCTCCAGCAGCTCCTGCGCTCGCTGCATCCTCTGAGCGATGAGGCTCTGCAGCTGGCCCACCGTCGACCCCCCGGACCCCCCCGTCGACCCCCACGTCGACCCCTCCGTCGACCCCTCCTCTGTCGGGCAGCGCCGGAGAGCCGAGCGAAACTCAGAGCGAATCATCGCCGGTCTGAAGGGAAGCAGAGGGAGGGAAGTTAGAGAGGAAGGAAAACGCTCCCCTCACCGCCCTTTCTTTTAGCGGACCATCATGAGCTTCAAAGGTCTCCTATTATACTATATTATAGGGTTAGATATTTACAAATATATAAAAAACATGTCTCTGAAGTGCTTTGCTCAAAATACCAAACTGATCATTCTAGCCCCCTCCCCTCTCTTCCAGCTGTTACTAAGGACATGATTCTGGGTCTGCAGCTTTAAAAAACATAATCAAGGATCCTCTCTGAAACAGGATGGAGCTCAAACTCTTCCTCTCTCTCAGGTTTACCACAAGGTGACTTCCTCTTGATTTCCTGCTTCTTCACACACACTCTCTCCAGCACAGGTTAGCTCTGAGTGTTAGCATGCTAATGTGAACACAGACCATATTACTTCCAGAACACGTCTCATTGTTTCTAACAGCAACGTTTCTGATTGGCCCGTGGGGGTAAAGCCCGCCCACATTTTAGTAATGTGGTCATGACGCAGCAAATCTGGATCAGCTCTCTGAGACTACTCTCTGTTCTCTGTTCCTGGTGGACTTCAGGAGTTAGTGTACCTGGAGGACAGGACTTCATCCATGGAGGCGCAGCGCCCTCGGCCCTGCATGCTGAACCTCTTCCCGGGCTGAGGCGTCCGACTCTGGGCCTGAAGGACCTGAAACAAAGGGCTGAGGTTCAGTGGTCGGTGGGTTTAGATATAAACACACAACAAAAGACTGAGGTCTTTTGGGGTGCAGGGGGCACTCCTTCAGACATGTATGACTCTGTTGTGGCATCAGCCATTTTCTATGGTGTGGCCTTGTTGTTAAATACCAACTATTTGCAATATCCGCAAAATGTGCAATATATGTGTATATATATGCCGTTAATAACTGTGCAATATATACCTGGCTGCTAAATCTTCAGAACTATTATAGGATGTGTATTTTGTAAAATGTTTAAATGTTCTTTATCTTTAATATTTGTTTCCAGACCTGCTGGTTCTTGAGGGTCTTTGAGGGCTCGGGGTGGGGGTGTTTCCCCCAGGAGAGCTCGCTCCCTCTGGGCAGGCTGCTGGTCTTCACTTTGGGCTCCTTGGAGACTCTCAGCTTCGAGACGTCTGTTCCCGCTCGCTGCCGGACGCCGAGCCCCGAGAACCCCTCAGCTGCCACCTGACCACAGGAGCCCCCCCGAGGCAGGTCGGCCTCCCAGGACCCCCGAGAGTCAGCGTCGTACGAGAAACCGTCCTCCTCTGCTACCAGATCCAGGGTCAGCATCCCGTGGGAGGAGGTGGATGCCTGAGAGAGAGACGGTACACACATCCTTTACTCAAGTAGAAGTACACACATCCTTTACTCAAGTAGAAGTACACACATCCTTTACTCAAGTAGAAGTACACACATCCTTTACTCAAGTAGAAGTACACACATCTTTTACTCAAGTAGAAGTACACACATCCTTTACTCAAGTAGAAGTACACACATCCTTTACTCAAGTAGAAGTACACACATCCTTTACTCAAGTAGAAGTACTGATACTCGTGTTTAAAAATACTCTGGTGAAAGTAGAAGTACTGACTAAACTTCTTTATCAAGTCAAAGTAAAGAACTTTGAAGTGTACTTCAGTAGAAAGTACCCATAACTAGCAGCTGTTTTAAAGAGTACCTGACCTCCCTTTATATTAATAGAACAATAATGTCATTGTTAGCTAATGAATGTTTCCATGCTGAACAACGGCAACATGACAACGTTTCCATTGGTCCCTCTTCTTTAGAGAAGACCAGGAAATGATGGATACACGGATCGTGTTCAAATCAATAGGCACGCAATGACTCTAAAGAATAATGATCACGCACCAAACACACATTCAGACTAAAGGAACCAGCTGTTTGGAAAATGAGAGAAGTAGAAAGTACAAGTATTTGAGTTCAACATGTAAGAAGTAGAAAGTACAGGTATTTGAGTTCAACATGTAAGAAGTAGAAAGTACAGGTATTTGAGTTCAACATGTAAGAAGTAGAAAGTACAGGTATTTGAGTTCAACATGTAAGAAGTAGAAAGTACAGGTATTTGAGTTCAACATGTAAGAAGTAGAAAGTACAGGTATTTGAGTTCAACATGTAAGAAGTAGAAAGTACAGGTATTTGAGTTCAACATGTAAGAAGTAGAAAGTACAGGTATTTGAGTTCAACATGTAAGAAGTAGAAAGTACAAGGTATTTGTGTTCAACATGTAAGAAGTAGAAAGTACAGGTATTTGAGTTTCAACATGTAAGAAGTAGAAAGTACAGGTATTTGTGTTCAACATGTAAGGAAGTAGAAAGTACAGGTATTTGTGTTCAACATGTGAGAAGTAGAAAGTACAGGTATTTGTGTTCAACATGTGAGAAGTAGAAAGTACAGGTATTTGTGTTCAACATGTAAGAAGTAGAAAGTACAGGTATTTGTGTTCAACATGTGAGAAGTAGAAAGTACAGGTATTTGTGTTCAACATGTAAGAAGTAGAAAGTACAGGTATTTGAGTTCAACATGTAAGAAGTAGAAAGTACAGGTATTTGTGTTCAACATGTAAGAAGTAGAAAGTACAGGTATTTGTGTTCAACATGTGAGAAGTACAAAGTATAGGTATTTGTGTTCAACATGTAAGAAGTAGAAAGTACAGGTATTTGAGTTCAACATGTAAGAAGTAGAAAGTACAGGTATTTGTGTTCAACATGTGAGAAGTAGAAAGTACAGGTATATGTGTTCAACATGTGAGAAGTAGAAAGTACAGGTATTTGAGTTCAACATGTAAGAAGTAGAAAGTACAGGTATTTGGGTTCAACATGTAAGAAGTAGAAAGTACAGGTATTTGGGTTCAACATGTAAGAAGTAGAAAGTACAGGTATTTGAGTTCAACATGTAAGAAGTAGAAAGTACAGGTATTTGTGTTCAACATGTAAGAAGTAGAAAGTACAGGTATTTGAGTTCAACATGTGAGAAGTAGAAAGTACAGGTATTTGTGTTCAACATGTAAGAAGTAGAAAGTACAGGTATTTGGGTTCAACATGTAAGAAGTAGAAAGTACAGGTATTTGAGTTCAACATGTAAGAAGTAGAAAGTACAGGTATTTGTGTTCAACATGTAAGAAGTAGAAAGTACAGGTATTTGAGTTCAACATGTAAGAAGTAGAAAGTACAGGTATTTGGGTTCAACATGTAAGAAGTAGAAAGTACAGGTATTTGTGTTCAACATGTAAGAAGTAGAAAGTACAGGTATTTGAGTTCAACATGTAAGAAGTAGAAAGTACAGGTATTTGAGTTCAACATGTGAGAAGTAGAAAGTACAGGTATTTGAGTTCAACATGTGAGAAGTATAAAGTACAGGTATTTGTGTTCAACATGTAAGAAGTAGAAAGTACAGGTATTTGAGTTCAACATGTGAGAAGTAGAAAGTACAGGTATTTGAGTTCAACATGTAAGAAGTAGAAAGTACAGGTATTTGAGTTCAACATGTAAGAAGTAGAAAGTCTTCAGAAATAAGTAGTGGAGTAAAGTACTGATACCAGAAACATGTACTTAAGTACAGTAACAAAGTATTTGTACTCCACTACGTCTCAGATAGTCCTTCTCCTGCAGCTCTCTATAGACAGACACTATGATATAAAGAGATGTCTCAGTACCACGGCCAGCAGGTGTCCTCTGGTCGGCAGCCGGCGGCCCTGAGGGATCTTTGCTCGATCTCTGGTGGGATGAACCAGAGACCCTTCCTCCTCGAGGGTCACCTGAACACACACACACACACACACACACACACACACACACACACACACACACACACACACACACACACACACACACACACTGAGTCTGGCACTCTCTGAAGTATAGCAGGTTTATAAAACCTGCACTCACATCTTCACACTTATGTAAATATATTTAACATGTTCATTCAAATGCTCAACGTTTTATGATATCTTGTTCCAATAGTTACTTATCACTTTATTTGTGTTGTATTCTATTTTAGCTGACCCTGTTGCTGCTATAAACACATGCATTTCCCCAAGGGGGAGAAATAAAGCTCCATCTCATCTCATCTGATCCAACAACAGCTCAGACCACATGCTGTACCTGGTCTAAGATGCGGTTCTTGGCTTTGATGATGGCCACGTTCAGAGCGTTGACCCAGGACTCCTTCTCCTCAGGACTCACAGCCAGGAACAGGAGGTTAGGAACCTGCAGAGACAGAACGGGAGGTTAGGAACCTGCAGAGACAGAACAGGAGGTTAGGAACCTGCAGAGACAGAACAGGAGGTTAGGAACCTGCAGAGACACAGAACAGGAGGTTAGGAACCTGCAGAGACAGAACAGGAGGTTAGGAACCTGCAGAGACAGAACAGGAGGTTAGGAACCTGCAGAGACAGAACAGGAGGTTAGGAACCTGCAGACACAGAACAGGAGGTTAGGAACCTGCAGAGACAGAACAGGAGGTTAGGAACCTGCAGAGACAGAACAGGAGGTTAGGAACCTGCAGAGACAGAACAGGAGGTTAGGAACCTGCAGAGACAGAACAGGAGGTTAGGAACCTGCAGACACAGAACAGGAGGTAGGAACCTGCAGACACAGAACAGGAGGTTAGGAACCTGCAGAGACAGAACAGGAGGTTAGGAACCTGCAGAGACAGAACAGGAGGTTAGGAACCTGCAGACACAGAACAGGAGGTTAGGAACCTGCAGAGACAGAACAGGAGGTTAGGAACCTGCAGAGACAGAACAGGAGGTTAGGAACCTGCAGAAGACAGAACAGGAGGTTAGGAACCTGCAGAGACAGAACAGGGGTTAGGAACCTGCAGAGACAGAACAGGAGGTTAGGAACCTGCAGAGACAGAACAGGAGGTTAGGAACCTGCAGAGACACAGAACAGGAGGTTAGGAACCTGCAGAGACAGAACAGGAGGTTAGGAACCTGCAGAGACAGAACAGGAGGTTAGGAACCTGCAGAGACAGAACAGGAGGTTAGGAACCTGCAGACACAGAACAGGAGGTTAGGAACCTGCAGACACAGAACAGGAGGTTAGGAACCTGCAGAGACAGAACAGGAGGTTAGGAACCTGCAGACACAGAACAGGAGGTTAGGAACCTGCAGAGACAGAACAGGAGGTTAGGAACCTGCAGAGACAGAACAGGAGGTTAGGAACCTGCAGAGACACAGAACAGGAGGTTAGGAACCTGCAGAGACAGAACAGGAGGTTAGGAACCTGCAGAGACACAGAACAGGAGGTTAGGAACCTGCAGAGACAGACAGGAGGTTAGGAACCTGCAGAGACAGAACAGGAGGTTAGGAACCTGCAGAACAGAACAGGAGGTTAGGAACCTGCA